TTTTTCCCCCCCCCCCCCCCCCCCCTTTTTTCTTCTTTTTCTCTTTCTTTTCTTTTCTTTTCTTTTAAACTACCGATATAGATTAATCCTAATGATACACATGATACACATCGCTGGGAATGAATACATCACGAGAATAACCAGGAATCAACCAGACCCCGAACCAAATCCGAGTGGAGGAGATTGGGGGATTGTTTGGGTTTGATGCGCAAATTTAGAAGACAAAGAGGGAGGGAAGGTTCATTAAAAGTTCGGAGGGAAAATTTTTATCTGTCTACGAAACAAGGAAACGACTTGGGGGTGCGAAGATGCGCATCTCCATTGGGGCGGGAGGCCCGTGCACTGTTATCGCAGCTGCGAGAACGACGACATCGCGCCAGACAACAAGGGGTCCGCGGTATTATTTGTCTTGTCAGGATATCCATCGCATTTGTAGAGTGGGTGTGGGGAAGGGGAAGGGGAGTGGGAGGGAGAGGCAGAGGAGGAGGGAAATAAAAAGAGAGTTCCATTCAACTTCGACGTCCTCATCCGCGCGGCCTCCTGATTCTTCGCTTCTCGGGCAGATTTCGCGAACACCTCCGTCTCCGTCTCCGTTATCGCCCTCATCTGCGACAGGGCCTTCGTCAGTGTCGTCGAGAAGAATAGAGAGGACATGCAAACCTGCGCATGGGAATTCGTCGGGGCCTTCGAGTAATGATGGTATGATCAATTGTAGCGATAAGGCCTCTTCCCCTTCACCTCCTCCACCGCAGTGGAGGAAACAAGAAAGAGATCAGGAATCAGATCAAGAACAGATACAAGACCTACGACCTGTAGAGCAAACCACCATCAACCCAACATCCGCTCAGATATCTGCTGGCGCATCGATACCCGCCATTACCTTTCCAACACCCACCCCTAGCACGACAACTACAGATAATACCAATACCACTACTATCGCTACCATCACTACACCATCAACACCGTCACAACCACCATCACCTCCCAGAACTCTCCGCCAAATCATAAAATCAACCTCCATAGGACGCGCGGCGGATTTCTACAGCCGCATGCAGAGTCGCAGACCTTATTGGACGCAGCTGTGGTGTACGTTGTTTATATACCTGTGTGGGGATTTGAGCGCGCAGTTTCTTGTCGAGGATGCAGGGAAGGAGAAGGAGAAGGAGAAGCATGGGGTGATAGGAAGGGATGGAGCTGGAGATAGAGATGGAGCTGCGGTGGGAGAGGGGTTAATGGCGCGGTATGGATATGATCCGTTGAGGACGGTGAGACATTTGACGGTTGGTGCTGTGGCTGCTGTGCCGAGTTATCGATGGTGAGTTTTGCTATTTTACTTTTCTCTCTCGATTTTTGTTTTCATTTTTTCCCTCCCCCCCGAATCCATCTCTCTAACCCGGATGCTTTATCCTCTTGTTTTACCTTCATATATTTACCACCTAACTACCTAA